CTTAGATGATAAAACAGAATCTCAAAACACCTTTTTAGTGTTTTGAGAAAATTGTTTAATTTTTAGAATTTGTAAATGGACAAGTCAAAAAAACGCCCCGGTTGCAAAACACCTTTCTTTGTTTTTGTTGAAAAAAAAAAAACAGAAACGATAAAAATACCACGGTTGTCAAATGCTCCCTCAGCAATAGCTTCCTTATAGGAGGAGGTTTTCTTCCCGGTCTTTGAAATAGTTTGTAGGACTGTGGCGGCTTTCACATTGTCGTTCACTGTTATCTTTTTTTCCTTAAGTTCCACGTTAATTTCCCCACACCTAAAAGAAAGAACAAATCCAAAAAGCTTAAAATCTTTAGTTGTTTCTGCAATCCTCAGGTACCATTGAATAAATTATAGTAAATGCATGATCTGTATGAAGTTTTTATTGTTTCAAAGCATGTGAGTACTCTCCTCAAAGAGAGAAAAAAAAAATTAAAATTCAATAGATAGCCAACTATGTATTTGAAAAAATGTTGACACTTTTCCCCCACTCTAATCTAATTTAGATTAAGTGATAGCTAAAGCCCAAAATGATAAAAAATATGCATGTATTTGGAAAAACTTAAAATCATGTGCATATGTAATAGCTAAAATTTGTATTAATTTTCAAAATCATTTGATACTATACAAACTTGTAACTATACTAACCAATCAGAATTTAGTGTAACATATATGTATCTGTCAACATACATATGCAATCTAAGCATCCAACTATCAGATTATAGTAAAATATTATAACAATATATTATATTGATTTATTATATTATATAAAATAAGATATATGATAATATCTTGTAATAATTAATCTAATATAATATATTACATTATACTATGCATATAATATATTATATTAAATACTATGATAATGTAATATAATAATTTATTTCATTATATTTTAGTATATATGTATATTATAATATAATACGTAATATTTTAATATAATACAATATATTGTATTATTATTGTATAATATATTGCAGTAATATATTATATGACATGATAATATATTTATAATAATTAATATAATATATTTAACATAAAATATTATATTATAATTTATTACTATTAAACTAGCAATATACTCTTTACTATTATATTGTAGTTAATGAGTAATATAACATATTTATTCTAATGAAGTATGTTATATTTTAAAATATTATATTACAATAATTTAATATTCGACAATAATATGTTATAATAATTTCAATTATTATATTTTAATATATTAAATTATAATGTAAGATAATATAATGTAATACTTAATATATTATATTTTAACATATTATACTATTTTATATTATTAAATATTATATTTATTTAATGTAATATGTTAGTATTTTAAATATAATAATATTTTTTGTATTAATAAAATAACATAATATACATAATATATTATACAGTATTTATAATATAATATATTATCACTGTTTTTAATATATTATATGTATACTATTTCATATAATATATTATATAATAATGTAAAGTAATATAATATCATAACATATGTTTGGAAAGGGTCAACCTACCTCTGACAAAACGAACTCATCATGGTTTTATAAAAAACTTTTTGGAGAAAAATAGCATGATGATGTGCTTTCTAAGAAAATCATCACAAAAAAATCACCATGGTATCCAAATACACCCTTGCTTAAAGAGAATGCACATATTACAGTTACTAGAGCTAGAATTAGAAGGGTAATGTCAAATTATAGCTGTTATTTTTGTCGAAATATACCATTTTGCATTAGACAAAGTTTGGTTTATCATATGTATGTCTATATTTTGCAAAAGTAATATAATAGACACGGTTAAAAGAAAAAAAAATGATGCTTTTATCGTATCATCTTATAAGTGAGGTTTCACATTATTGGTGCTTAAGGACTCAGAACGAATTGGATACTAAGAAGTTCTTTCAACAACAACAACAACAGATAAAAAGAAAAAAGAAAAGAAAAAGGATAGTAAGATGTGCAAATTTGTTTAATTTTTTTTAATTTGATTCCCAATTGAATATCCATTTCTGATTTTTTTTTGAATTCGGTTATTTGGTATTAGTCACATATTCTCATATATCTATCGAATGTTATAACCTTTTGAGTAATAATTTATCCTTTTTGATTACTAAGCTATTTAACTAAAAAAAGATACTTTTATTAGGTTACAGAAATTCTTTGATTTTTGTAAAAGAATTTGACATAGTATTTTTAATTAGTAGTTAGCATATAGCTTAAGTAGAAACGATAATAAGTGGATTAAAAATATCACACCATATGTGCAAGTTATATAAAATTGTAAGCAATCAAATTTGAAACAATTTATTTGGTAACTAAACACATCAGATATCTGGTTAAATTCCATTCGTTCATGAATCTAAATGCAAAACCAACTTGTTTACCATTGAATGAACTACGAAATTGAACATAGGTAAATAGTCACTCAAACAATTGATAATTACATCAGAATATCCCGTGCATAGGACGTGTCCCATACCATTGCATATCTATTAGTTCTAACTACATGGTAAGTAATTAAGTATGTGCTTCAGTCATTGATCTTCCATATAATGCATCATCCTTGATGCTCAAAGGAACAACATACATTAGAAACCTAACAATGATCATGGAAAACGTCGCGTAGCATTCAAACCTTAGCATTATACATAGCACCAAGTGACTCACGAATCTTCTTTGTACACATAACATTCAAGGCTCCAAACTGGTTAAATTTGGTCCAATAAAAACACTTCTTCAAAAATCTAAAACATCATTTCAAACAGTCTCATTATTTATCCTCAGGTACAAAGAAATTGAACCTCACATCCACAGTTCCAGATCCTTCGCCTTTGTCTTTGTACTCTATGCCTGTTATTTTCCCCCTGTAGTCCTCTTCAGTTTCCTGGTACTCACGCTTCACACGCCGAACTGGAACTGCCACAGAATACACTGTGCCAAGCCCAGGGTCAGTTGATACATTTAGCTGCACTTTGTCCTGTGATTCTATCTCCACAAAATCAGACAGGGCTTCAACGATGCTGCTCACGATTTTTTGCTTGGCCTCATCACTGACTTCACATCGATCAGAGTAAAGGATCATTTTCAGCCTCTGCTTTGCAATTTGTGCATTGGAATTCTTGTTTCTCGTTGTTGATGGGAATAATATCCTCCGAGCCAAACTCAACCGCTCAGTGAAGCTTTTGCTGATAGAATTGAGGAGGAATCCTTCAGCATCGTTGTTGGTAGTTGTGTGGCTGAGATTGTCTCCCTTATTCCAAAAACACTGTGCTCTGATGGGCGAACTTTTGTGTGTGAAATCATAAGATCCTCTAAACGGAAGCTGACCAAATGGTATCTGGAGGACACTTGGATAGCAGTTGTCAGTATTTGGAATTGTATGGTCAGTAACATACACTATACTTTGACATAATGAGCATGTGATTCTTACAAATATAAGTTATGCTTATAATAAGTAACATGGAGCATATTAGTGTAAAGGTAAATTATTGGTGATATACGGCCCTGATTTTAAGTTGCAACTTACAGATAGCTGATAATATATATCACTAGAAAATGTCTCAAAAAAGTTGAGGGAAAATGTAACTATCAAATTTTTGAAAAAAATCCTGGTAAGTGCTACAATTGACAACTCCAGTATTGTATTACAAACTTCAAGCCATAACGAAACAGTCACATCTGAAGCAGAGAAAACATCAAAGTGCATATGGTATGATGCACTTCACCACTACTCAATACAGCAGCAATATTTCCAATATGTCTCAAACAAACTTTTCTTATGGTCATAATTAAATACGAAGAATGCAATTTACTCTCGTGAGAAATATACAGTTTACTCCGGTTAAAAAGAGACAAATAATACTAAAAATGAATAAATGCTGTTTACTCTAGTTATTTCATATACAGCACTCAGCAGTAACAATTCATATATAGCCAGGACATAAAGACATGCCAGCAGTGGCCATAATCATTCCTCATAACATTTGCGTAATATATATTTTTGGCTATTTCCAACTGAAATTCTTGATTGTTTTTAACAATTTAACCTAAATCCATATCATTTTAATAGCAGATCCTCAAGGAGCATGTGTCAAATTAGGAACTTCCTAGGGCATATTTTATCTTCTAGTTAATAGATCTTCCCTCCAAATGGACAGATGTACGTAAATATATTAGATGGTCGCCGACAAAGCATAGATTTTTTTGGGGCCATATTTTACTTATTTTCACTAGTGGTAACATGTGATGAGCTAATTGCCTAACAAATATGGATCAATGCTATAGAGACATATTGTAGGTGGTTTCTGGCCCTTTCAAGACAAGGATGCAGTCAGGGTTACAAGTCCCTTATAAACTCCTCAAACACAAGGCATGTTTTGGCTGGATCAAACATCCCAACTAATTGGTCTTCAAGCTTTATATGGAAACACTCTGCTCTTGCCCCCCCAATTGCGTAGACATTTGGATTCTTCATTTTGCAAATGTCTTCTCATGAACAAACTTTCCACCCTATAACTAAACCTCCTTTTAATCTGAGAAGGGTTATGATCACAAACTGACGTGGACCATTTCAACAAATTAATTGTATATAGATTTACTATAATCTAAAAACCACTGGCTTAAATACCATGTTCAATCGTCCATATAAGCTTTACCAAATAAATGAATATGTAATAACATATTCCATCATTCAATTCCAATATGACACAAGCTCTGAGTACAGCCATTTAGTTAGGCTTGAACCATCTATATGTATATATAGACTTATTACATCTAGTTAGGATTGTCAACCCCTCCTCTATTACTTTATTTAGAGGTAAAACAAGATCCAGAAGTCGTTTCTGAAGGATTTGATTGTTTCCAAGAACATTCACAGTTCTTGCTGATGATCTTGCAAAAAAGGAGTGCTCAACAAGAAAGTTGGCCATTCATTTATGTATGCCATTGCTATGATATGATAAGCACAAGCCTTAAGTAGCATTTAACTGAATGCCATACTTGCATTTGACAAATTTGATTCTTAATTATCTCAGCCAAACTGCAAAGGATCTATCCTAAATCCCATTGGTTCGTTTTCTTAACCAAGTCATTTATTTTCCAAGTTAATATATGGCTCTACCTATCTAGTATTTTGAGTCTCTTCAGATGGTGTCTCATACAAGTTGCACGGCAGCTTCGTCAGTAATTAGCAATGACAACTGCAGTATCACTTGATCCACTTGCTAGAATAGTCAAACTGGACAAACACTAAGACTTGAATATGAAGGCATCTAAAAGCAGCACTGAAAAAGAAGAGAAAAGCAAAAGCTCTCCTCATATATTACTATCTTTAATGAGCTAATCAGCCTAAATATCATTTAGTGATATACATATTGTGTTGATGCATGCCAACAGTTATGATGGTATAAGCATACTCCTGGTAGGGTAAGAGATAGAAAAAAACTTTAACCCTTGCACTACAGTGATGGAAGCAAGGAAAAGGAAGTGAAGAATAACATGTTATCATTTAGCCTCTGGTCTTATGATAGTTTAAAATGCTGCAAACAATTATCCATAAAAGTTATTAATAATCATGTTCTTTATTGAAGTGAAGTTGATATCAGCTTTCATAATATAGGTTACATACTCATAACAGTAAGGTGGACTAATTAAGCTAAACATATTAGCAAATTTGATATAGTAAGGGAAGTAAAGTAAGTAGAAGTAGGATAAGAGTTAGAGACAGTTAGGCCCTTGATCTGGATTACATATGTGAAAAGGAAATCAACAAGACAAGTAACTAAGGGAAAGTTGAGAGTGCAATCTAAACTATGATGTCTTTAAAGATAATTAGCTCAATAAGTTAACTGCACCTAGTAGCAGTTTAACAAGCAGTATGTGGTTGGGGATTGTAAAGGAGATAAAGTAAGGGGCTGTTTGGTTGTATGTTTTTACCATGTAAAAGGATGTAAAGTGTAAAAAAGTGGGTCCCAATGTCAGCTTTTATCACTTTCAATTGTTTGTTTGTAGTTGTGAAAATAGTGTAAAGTGATTTCATATGCTGATGTGGCTTGTAAAGTAATTTCATGAAAAAAAGACATGATTTTAGGAGAAAGCTAACAATGAAGTTAGGAAAAAATAATAAAAAATAATTCCAACCAATATAATCATTTGAGTAGGGACCACTTTTTACACTTTCCAAACAAACAATCAAAGTTTCATTTTGCAAACCAAACAAGTGTTTTATGATTCCAATGGAATCAAAAACAAACAAAGAAAAGTATAAAAGTAAAATTGATGAGGTGGACAACAACTTTCCAAGTTGTGTCATAAATACACAACTTTACCAACAACAACCAAACAGCCCCTAAACTGCAGGATGGGGTGACAAAGTTCACTATTATCTAGGTAGTATCAACCTGTGATAATAATCATCTTTCATTTGATCACAATTCTAAACCTACATTAACCAGCTAAATTTTTTTTTTATTACACATTGCCACAAAGAAGTTAATGGTTAGTCAACTGAACAGAGTAAAAGACATAATGCATGCTTAGCGTAACCATAGTGTCAATCCAACAACAAGCAAGGTGGTCTGTTATGTTAAAAGACATAATGCATGCTTAGCATAACCATAGTGTCAAACCAACAACAAGCAAGGTGGTCTGTTATGTTAAAAAAAAAACAGATTTCTGAGAGTCTGTCAAAGGGGAAATGCATCAATTAATGAGCTCCACATCATCTCATACATAAATGTGTACATACAACAAAGGTGAAAAAACAGATGTTAGCAAACCATCATATAAAAGATTTTTTTTAGAGAAAGAGACTCAAAGTGAACATTAATTGAAATCTCCCTCCCAGCTCAGGTAGAGTTCTATGAAGCACGGACACGCATAACGTGAAGCCGTGTCGTGTACGTGTCAGACGCATGTGTTGGGCACACATATCCTATGTATTTTTTAGGATTTGCCTCGTGTCGGATGGCCTTGTCGGATCCGTGTCCGTGCTACATAGGTAGAGTTCATATCATTCGACAAATTGCTAATACATTAGACACATGTGAAGTGGCAGAACCACGTTGATCAGTGCGGGTAGCGGGGGGGGGGGGCCCCCCCCCCCCCCCCCCCCCAAAAAAAAAAAAAAAAATGGTTACATAAAATTGCCTAAAGTCTATTATCCAATTTACAAAATGATGGAACCCACCACATAGTTTAATGAAGTTCTCGCAAGTGATTGTCTTTGTTGGCAAATGCATCACGTGAGATGTGAAATGCCCTTAGGTGGAATGGAGCCAAGGAAAAAGTTTTTGCTAGTACATTCCAAATCTTACCCTTATTTACTTTAAAACCCAAAGCTTTGTATGTTCACATAGACCAAAATGCAAAGTTCAGTTACCTTGAAACTCAAAGTGTGGAATACAAAGTGTATAGCTGCATACAATAGGGTAGCTGCATACAATAGGGTATATAGTTATACACCCTAAAGTATATATCTGTACAATCTACAGTAAATAGTTCTACACTCTATTGATGTAGCTGTACACTTTCTATTCTAATTTTGGATTTAAAGGTAGATAACTTTATATTAAGGGTGTATGGGTGAATGACATGGGGTTTAAAGTAAATGGAGGTAAAACTTTCAGCTCCTAAGAAAAAAAAAATCCAAAATAATAATAATAATAATAAGAGCTGGGACAAATTTTGAAAATAGACCCCTTTGCAAAAATATTCTCAAAAAAAGACCCGTTTTTACTTTATTTTTAAAAAACGACCTAGTTTTCCACTTAATTTTCAAAAAACGACCTACTTTGTTGAAACTGGGTCGTTTTTTTTGAAAAATATTCCCAAACTTCATGGGAGTTGAACTCCCGTGAAGTTTTTTTCATAACAAAACTTCACAGGAGTTCAACTCCCGTGAAGTTTGTGAACATTTTTCACAAAAAACGACCCTGTTTCAGTCTCAGAGCTGAAACTGGGTCGTTTTTTGCGAATATTTTCAAAACGGGTCTTTTTTTGGGAATATTTTTACAAAGGGGTCTGTTTTCAAAATTTGTCCATAAGAGCTGAGGTGAGAGTGCTCCGATTTTGGCAATTCAATTGGCATCTGGATGATGATTTGATTAAGTTTATGACGGTAGATTCTTCACATGTTGGAAATTTTCATTGAGATGAATCATTGTAAGCCCTAGAAATATCCAAATCACAGTACTTGATGTCATCGCAGAATGATTCACTGAAAACGTGTGCTCAGATCTGATAAATCACAGTTTGCTGTTCATGATCAAAGATTGCTTTTTTTAGTTAGAAAAAGTGTGCTAATGTCCAGGTAAAAAATAATATTCTTATCAACTGGTCATTTAAACATCCTAGTTGAGTGCTCACCAAGTTTATTTTCTCTCTTTTCTTTACTTCTTTTTCTCTCTTTTCTTTTTAATACTTTAACAAACAAGGAAAACTGTCAAATTGCATTCATGCCTTTTTTATCATGTTCACTAGAACCCACATACACTATAAATCATAACCAAACAATAGAACAAGAAACCATATAAGTTTCAAGTGACAAAACAATCAACTCATGCAAGCTATCTACTGTTAGAAAACATATACAGAGGGTTATCAACTTTGTTGCGCACATTTCATCAAAACACGGAAAATCACAAGAGTTCTTCACATTGTAATTTCACCATCTTAACACAGATGCAATATTTACAAGAGAAACGTAAAACCAGTGAAATGTAAGAAACAGGAACCCGATCCAAATAAGACTTCTAAAATGATAAAACCGCACAGTGAAATACAAACACATTAATAGGCATACAATCAACAGAGAACCAACCTGTACGCAATAAATGATAGGAATTGATAAGGAATCATTACTTCAGGTCAGGACATAATTTTTGATAAAAGCCAATTCAGTTCACCAAAATTTCACGCAAAAGGGGAAAACCTAGGATTCTAAAACCCTTCTTCTTAAATAAAAGGACGATAACTGTCCAAAATCACCAAAATTTATACTAAATTGAGACACCCAAATGGGAAAACGGTCCAATTTCGAACTAAAAAGTTCTAAAATGACAATTTTATATCATCCAAAACTGAGAAATTTGGGGGAATTCAAGAATGAAAAAAGAGGAGATGGAATTAGACCTTGGAACGAGAGACGGAAGGGCGCCAGGAGTGAAGGGAGTGAGGAGAGAACGATGGAAATAGCTTCAAATCCCCAGAAATCGCCATGGATTCTCCCCCTATACTCTCACTAGCTCTGCTTACGAGCTGCGATGTTTTTTGATGCTCATCATGGTTGTCGTGTGGCCTCATGCGAGAGGCCCAAAAGAAGGCCCAAAGCCAAACGGGGCAGGTTCTGTTATCCCTCTTTGCAAACTGGGTGAACCAGTTTCAACGGAGACAAAATGAGTCTACCAGCTTAGATCTTGCTTGACAAAAAAAAAAAAAATGTGGCGACGGCGGGATCAGACAAAAATTTATGAACAAGAATGTGGCGACGGCGGGATCAGCTGAGTATGTGTTTCGTAGGCTGGGTTTTACAATACAGAAAGGATTAGCGGCGCAGCTTGTTGCCCGCTTGTCATCATCACACGTGTAATATATTTTTATATTTATATAAAAAAAAAGTTCTTTTAAGGCTCACTTTTACTCAATTATTATACTAGGCTAGAACAAGTTTAATAATTTCTAGTCTAACATAACCTGGACCAAGTGGAGCTAGTTTAAAACCAGTCTACATTATTTTCAAACTTGCCAAACATACCCTTAGGACATGTTTGGTTCACCCTTAAGTACTGGAAACAGGACGAACTGATACGATTTAGAACAAAAAGTAGCAAAAAATGGTGACTTCAACAATTCCTTTTCTTTCAAAATAAATTGTAAGAAATATTTTCTATAAAACTGGAAAAGTACACCAATTTTAAGAATAGCTAATTCCTTAGTTTTGGACAGGAAATGGGGAAAAAAAAGCTAATGCACCGTATGCCACATCATTCACACCCCCATTTTCTTTTTCTTAATCATGTGATCAAAATCAGAAGCCCTAAGATCATTGCCCCATTTCATTCCCTCATTTTGTTCGCACCTCATTTTTTTTACAGTTCTCTCTCAAAGAGAATGCTAGCTAGTTCCTCTTTTATCCCAAATTACACCCATCTGCTTCAAAATTTAGTTATAAAATGTAAAATAGAAGCTTCCGAGTTGAGATTTGGGTTCAGGCGATTGATATTGAAGATAAAAAAATTTTCATTTTTAGGGTTTCACTGTTGGTTTGAGTTGGATATTTGGGGTTTCACGGTCGTTATTACGTCGAGATTTAGGTTTTCACTAGCATTTCATCTCAGATCTTCTCATTTTCGCTTCGATCTGACCTAATCTTGCTCAAATCAAAGCCCAATTTAAAAGCTGGATTTCTTTCTTTTGGCGGATCTTTTTTATAGCTGGAATCAAATGTGTAATTTTTCCTTTGCCTTTCTCAATTTTGATCTTTTATAATTCATAAATTTTCCGTGAGAAATAATATTTTCACTTGTTGAAATGTATGATTTTGCAATATGATATCGATGTTGAAATTAACAATGTGGATTTACTTGTATAAATTGGTTTAAAAGTAGAGGATCCGTTTGATGCTAGAATTTATTATTGTTTGTGATTGGGTGATATATGTCACTAATCTGAAAGTTTTGTCATTTTTAAATAAGTTCACATGTGACATTATTAATTAGTGGAGCGTATTAAATCACGTTGCATGTTGTATTATTATTGCATGTCCAGTCAATTTGCATAATCACGATGTAAATTTTTTATTTAGAAATATAGCTTTGTTCAATTTTTTAGTAATTTATATTAGTTTAGTTTTAGTATTTGCTTTTAGTGTTGCATTTGCTTATCTTTAAGAATGTATTTTTTGATCATTGTAGATGCATGATATTGATGAAGAAATGGTAACAAGGATGTCTTCTAATGCTACTATTTCCCCCTAGTTAATTACTGTTGGATTTTTTGGTCAAAACCGCTTTCCAAAATGAGTTTTTAAACTATATATATATTAACTACAAGTGCTTTTCATAAATGCTTAGTATAACCTAGTGGAAAGTTATGTTTTGATGTTTCAAAAGGTCCTTTGTTCGAGGCTTACCAACGACAAGCCGAGAAGTATTTTATTTTAATTAATCACTCATAAGTTCTAGTGGGTCGTGGGTTGTGGGTTCGTGGGCCGTGGGCCAATGGGCCGGGGATCGTGGCTAATCGCGCTGAGGCGCTTTGTTAGGCGCACTTTGCACTTGTACGGAGGCATCGAGGTTAGGTGGCGCCACGTTTGGCTGCTACTATGGTCGCCACGAAGGTTGCCTCGCAGGCTGTTTCGCAGCATGTGGATGAGCTACGCATTTGCACGAGGGTGAGACCCTAATGTTCTCGAAATCAGACGAGGTTCGATCGTCAAACGAGGTTCGCCCATTCGACGAGGTTCGCTCGTCAAATGAGGTTCGCCTGTTTGACAATGTTCGCTCATCAAAGGAGGTTCGCCTGTTCGATGAGGTTCGCCCGTTCGACGAGGTTCGTCCTACAGACGATGTTCGTCTGATTTGCTGAGACGTGACACTCGCGTTTCGTAGTAACGCATCCATTGATTGCCTCGTATTCAGGAGTTATTACATGCAACTGTTACAACGACATTTAGAGCAATTTAATGCATTGATGTTACAATCATAATTTTTATTGTGAATTGTAACAATCACATTAATTGAGGGTGACTCTTGAGCTGGTCTTAGAGACCTATAAATAGTGCCCCTTGGGCAGCTCTTGTAGTTTGCTAGAGAACTTAGAATACGAACGTCGGATCAAGGAGATCTTGACGTTGTTGCTGCTGTTTTGCTGCTGCTGCAGAAACTGTGCCTATAGGAACTTGCTCTAAAAACGAAAGGTTTTGAACCGAAATGTTCTGAGATCGATGATATCTTTGCCTTGACCGAAAGGTCTTATAGATCGACGAGATCTTAACAGTACTGGATTGGTACACACCAGAGTACTGTACTACTGTCCCTGAAAACAGTTTGGCATTGGGATCCTTGCACTGGAGTAGGCCAAATATTACTTTAAGCACAATGTTTCACAAACGCACAACAGTGAACTAAAAAAGTTTAAAATTATAGCACATCAACTTTTACTATTTTATTCTAAATTTAACCACAATTTTCAACAATTACATGTTTAATGAGAAAGCATTGTAGAAGGAAATCAATCCCTTGCCGCCATAAAGAGGGGGAATATAAAAGATAGATTCTAGAAATGTGCACATAGATTCTGTGTTTTATGGTTATAGTCAAAGTTGTGGTGATTATGTTAGAATGAAGCCACGAGCATTTGCAAATCTTGTTAGAATAATTAAATCTACTGGTTGGTGACGTCATTAACTTCAGTTGGCTTTATAAGACGTCTTGATTCTTGTGGACTTAGGTGAGGCGAGTATCTCAAATACTCTAGTTTGAGCTTAGCCTTACTTGTTCCATCAGATTATCTTCATTGCTTCAAAGCTTTCCTTTCGAATATGCACGAAAGAATTTTTGGTACAATCTCAAGATCTAAGCATGATAATGATTTAAGACTGTGTATTTAAGGAGTATTTTGATCAGCTTCTTTTAAGTATATTGATATACTTAATTCCTGATTTAGATAAAGATACTATCTTCAAGCCTGGTAAATATGGTTTGCTGGGTGCAAGTGAGTTTGTGATGTTTTTAGCATTTATTTGTTCCATCAGATTCTCTTCATTACTTCATAAGCTTTCCTTTGGAATATGCACGAAAGAAGTGTGTTGGACCCTAGAGGGGGGTGATTAGGGTCACAAGGCTATAATGGTGCAACAAAATTAAGACAAACAAAACACAATATCCAAAAGCAATCAAAATAGAGGAGATAGAGTTAGGAATCGTTATCCTGTGACGCACGATGTGTTAACGAGGTTCGGTCCGCTGATCTATGTCCCCGCTCCCCACTCTCGAGGAGAAATCCACTACACAACCTGGTTTGGAAGCCGGAACTTCTTCTACACAGCGATCCCCTCACGATCTCACACTACCCAGTTGATCTCACTAGATCACACTCCCACACAATTGATCTACACAAGATCAAGCTCTCAAAATAGTAGAAATGGTGTAAGAACCATCTCATTACAATGTTCCTATGGCAAAGAGAAGATAACACTGAAGCTGGGATGTGAAACACAAAAACTCAGAAGAAACTGTTTTGAAAATGAAAGCTGCTGTAAAAAACGTTCTCTGAAGAATTTTAAGATCTGGGAGCTCCAGAGGAATGAACGAAGAAGATATGTTTTAAATAAAAAACTAGGAGTCAGGATGTTTGAAACGCGCATAGCCGCAATCCCCCAAAATCTGGAAAGCAGCAGGCGGCTGAGATCGTGTGAAATCGCGCGCTGAAGAAACTGTATCATATTACGTTTAGCAATCGGGCGGTCGCCGTGGACTTTTTCGCGGTCGACCGGCGTGGAGGCAGTTTTAGAAACTTACCAAAAGTGCCAGAGATCTTTCGGCGTCGACCGTGGGAAATTTTTGGCTCAGCGGTCGACCGCAAATGAGAGCGGTCGAATCCGTGAAAGTTTCTGTTGCCGACATGATGAGTGAGGCTCAGCGCGGTCGATCGTGGCGATTGACCGCAATGCTGATAGCACTCAAACCATGATTTTTTGATCACATTAAAATATTTGTAAAATATATCATTTGACCTCTGAAAATTTGTGAACTTTGTAAATGTTTTTTAATAGCTATAAAACAAATTGTTTGGAAAAGGATTTTGGGGCAAATAAGGTGCCTCCGATACTTTGTGAAAATAGTATTTTGTGGAAATACGTTCAAGAAGCTATAAGTATGGAAAACGTGTTGTTTGATATCCCAATAGCTTGCAGATAGAAATCTAAAACTATTTGCGCATACATTCTAGGCACTAGAGAGAAAATAAAAACTAGCTAATATCCTCACGAGAATACAATTCTTGAGTCTTGATATAGCTTGAGTTGGATTAAGCTTTTAATTGAATTTGGTGTTCTTGAGATAACGTTGTTTCATCACTATGCCTCCTCCTCCTTTGGATATCATTGTTGTAGTGTATATTCCATCCAATCCTCCATTTGTTGCACTAACATGCTTGATATATGAATTCACTATATTTGTAATCAATAAGCCATTAGTACCGATAATGGTGGTTGTAAAACATCCTCAAAATACAAGGGCTAACAATCTTCCCCTTTTTGATGATGACAACCAACCATTATATAAGAGCAAAAATAAATATAGCTTATAGATAGGTGCTCCCCCTATCTA